TATTCCCGCCGCAAACTTATGAACCAAAGATCAAAACAGTCCAAACTTGGTCTAAAACAATCAGATTTAAGGCGGCGTGCGCACGATAAATCGACTGGAGTCAGTGCTGCCTCTTCTGCTGCCCAAGCTGGTGTCATAAAGCCATATGCAATGCTTGCTAAGGTGGTTTCTGAGGAGGACAAAGAAAGTATGCTAGAGCCAGGTATGGGCACAGAGGCATTTGCAGATATGGATCTGAACAGCGTAGAGACTTGGCAGGAAGAGGAACCTGAGATGCACTCTTATGATTGCGATTCTGATGAACTAATTGAGGATTTGCTGGATAATGAGGCAGAAGTAATTACAAAGAAGCAGAATAAGAGGCCCAATAACAATGATCCTTGGGATGGCATGGGATATGAGCCAAATGATGATTTGCCTGAGGATATAGATTATCAGGGGAGTGAGGAAATTGACGTACTTAGAGGCAACGAAGACGATGGCTTGGATGAAACTGCTTCAGAACATTACGACTATCAGATTGAGCGTGAACTTTATGCGTGTAGTGGTGAAGAAGAGCCTTTAGAAGAAGAAGAGGATTCTGAAGAAGAAAACTTGGGGGAAGTTGAAGAGTTGGGGTTTCCTTTGCTTGTTGATACTGTTGAAGTTGGCCTGCCAGCTGCCGTCAAGACTTCACAGTTACCTTTGGGTCCTTCCGATCACATAGAGGGCTCCGATGAGGAAGAGGAGGATGTCTACGATGACGAGACTCAAGGCCTTTTGTCAGGAGACCGGTACCAAAGAAAACGAGAGCCATTGAGTGGCACTGGCCGACGGACAAATCACTACCATCAGCATCAGTCCTTCTCTGGTAGCACAGATGTTTTAAAAATTAATGCTACTTCCTCTTCTGCACAAACTTTGCCCGCAATCTCAGACGGAAAGCATATTGTTGCTGCAATAATCGGCTCCAACGAGATGCCCACTCGGGTCCGTCGCCGAAAAAGTCGTCGTGAAATTTCAGGGCAATCCCTCAAAAACACATCTGCATCAACTCTAAACAATTTGCCTGCTCAAATCCAAATGTCTTCTCAGTCTTCAAAATCACATAAAGAGAGCAAAGATCGCCGTCGGCGTACGGGGCCAGAACTGTCTGATACGACAGCTGGAATGGACCAGACCTGCCGACCTAGGAAGAGGCCTGGCTGGCTCGGGCGTCGCTTTTCAGCACAGGGCGGTGGTGCTCGGGCATTCGGCTTAGGCCTGATGCATCCTTATCGGCTCACTCGAAACCTGAGTGAAATGCTCGTTGTTGCCCTCAAGCAGGTAATTACTCAAAAGACGGCTTCATGGTACTAATTCAATTAACCAAATTTTTACGTTTGTATCGTATCTGCAGTCGGACTTGATGGCTGCCCCGCAATTCCTATTTATGAAGGAAAGCTGGGTTTCGAAAAATCCCTCATTTAGTGTGGCTCGACCATCCATTTCAAAGGAAAAATTGGTTGGAAGGAATTCGTCAATTTGTCTCACCTGAAATCGAAAGAGGATTACTTTGTAGTGAAGACTGTTGGATTTGGCAAAGACGTCCTCGGCCTACCGTCCTTCGACTCTTTTGGACGCGGACCAAGCTTTTGTCTCTTATATGACAGACATAATCAGAGCAAGAGACTATGCTATACAATTCCATTGTAACTATGACGAGTAACTGGGTTTCGATTTATCTGTAGAGACTTTCATTTCGTACAAAATGAAAGTCTCCCCATTACAAAATCTGTCTATTGTTGAGCTATTTGGTAAAGCATCGATTCTTACTCTGATTGTGTTTGTCAAATTCCAGACGTAAGCTTAACACGGGTTCATCGAAGTTGTGGGACGGTGTTCCGAGAACTTCTTCACACTATCCGATAGTGTTCACTCTCAAGCAATCCTTCGAATATTTTCGGTGAGACCAATCGACGAATTCCTTACAACCAACTTTTCCCTCGAAATACCATGCAATTCCATAACTTTGTTTTTATTTATTTTTGTCCTTATCATTAGAGCTTTCCTGTCAGTGTGATCCTTAGCCGCATACCTCTATCATCTGCTCTTTTATCCATTTCCTTCGTTTAAGACACTTACGTTGCATGAAGTATTTTACCACGTTTTGCATGATTACTGTTTTGTCCACTTTTTCGTCTGCAAACAAATGTTTCCTTGGATTAAAAGTTCATCCTCATCTTTTCATCAATATTTTGAGGATGTCTTTCGGTCATTTGATGATAAACTTTTTTCAGATAAACTTATACTTATAAACAGAAAATGACTTATTATTTTTAAAGACATAACTGGCTTG